GAACAAGAAATAGATATTTACAAACGTGACCTAATCCAGTCGTTGAAAACGGCTTGGCATTTGGCGTATGAGCACAATTTGAAGGCGCAAGCCAAGATGAAGAAATACTATGACCAACGGTCAGCCAGTTCAAACATTCAAACAGGTGATAGAATTTAATTACTCAGAAAACAAGTTAAGCCAGGAAGCCTAAGGAAATTTCATCTTCTGTGGACTGGTGTCTATAGGGTAATTGAGATCCATCATCCTACAGCTATAACTGTCTCATGTTTGGTTCCACATTCAACTTCTTTCAAAGTGCACTTGAATCAGTCAAAAAGTATATCTCCTTAGAGGGCCCAGCTTGTACCTTACCAGTACTGTCTGAGGAGGAGCGGAATGCGCTGAACGACTGCAGAGCCAGGGTGCAGGAAACTGTTCCAGTGTATCTTTACGAGATACCAGAAGATGGTGAAGAAACAGCTGAACAAAACACAGAACGTCCAAATACGATAAAAAGTCCCATAAAAAACATTAGCCAGTCAGGTAACGATTTACAGTCTAATAGTCAGTATCTGTCGAGAAGATGCAACTTTTCGAGAAGCATGGTTCATGCAGTTTATTTCAAATTAAAATATGTATGTTTTATGCATGCGTGTGCATACAAAGTGCATGTGCACTTTATCTTCGTTTTTATATGGCGACGACGGGAGGCGACGAGGAGCAACAACGAAGCCCTTTGGCCAGCCACCTCATACGGCGAGGAAACGGCAACAACGGGCGGCGGCGAGGAAAACAACAACCGGCAACAACGGGGGGCGGCGAGGACAACGAGGCACAGGACGTCGACTACAGTTTCGGCCATAATTCCAAAAAGGTCATGGTTTCATGGTTAAACAACCCTACTTCATCTCGAACAGATGAAAGCTTTCCATTTCAAGAGCCTGGTGAAAGTGTGAAATGGGGCAGTAGTTCCAGTGCTAATAATTCAACACACGGACAACGTCCAGGGGCTAGGATTCCATTTCAGGGCGTACAAGAGAAATAGACCTGTGTTAGGCAAGGCAGCCCTACCGAGGTAGGGCTGCCTTGCCTAACATAGGTCTATTTCAGTTTTATATCACAATTGGCGTATACGGCACCGTGTGCGTTGGTGCATGGAAGGTGATTTGTATGTTGGTAAGAGATAAATAACCAAAAAATGAAGGTGTGTTTTTATTAAAAAAAGAGTAGGCGCTCTGTATAAAAAAAAACTTGCCAAATTATTATTGTTCCCTTTTTCTTTTTGCTGATTGAAAAGGCAAATTAAAATAAAAGCGGTCTGTTTAAAAAAAAAAAGAAAGTGATGATATTTGATTCAAATAGAAAGCTTCTAGCCGTTTAGCCGAGCGACAGTTCAAAATAATATTAGTGGAAGGATCACTACTATAATTCCGGACAAAATGCTTCACCAACAGATATCACGGAAATCCCGGCTTTTTGTTTTCTTATTAAGCGTAGGAGTGCTGTGTTTCTATAAATAAATTCATTGTGTACGTTTTACAATGCCTTGAATAATCCTGAATGCTAATGTGTTCTTCTTTTGTGTACGTTGATATTGGAGTATGCGTAATGTTTTCAGCACTACTTATTTTGCAATGATTTAAATTTTAAAAATATCACTTTTTTACTGCCTCAACTGTGTGCTAAAATGATATGGATACATGCGCGTATTTGTGGAATGTAATTTTTTTTCTCTCTTCATGCGACATAAGAAGCTCTATGAGCTTAACCTACGTTTGCTGTAATAGTTGTATGTAGGATCGTGAATGATTTTACGGTAGGAAGTGCTGGCTTTTGAACACAAAAAAAACTGGTTGGTTTTATTTCCCCCTCTTTTCTCCCCTTCTTTTTTCTCTTTTTTTTCTTCAGAAACAGAAACTTAGTCGAAAGCGTACGGGCTGCCGGTACGAGGATGCGTTTTTTGCGCAGTTCCCCCGCAGGTTTTTTTTCGCCAGTAGCACGCTCTTCCCGGCAGATGCTTCTAGCTAAAAGAGTTGTGACTGGCCACCATGACTGTTAGAAATTATTACAATGACTCCCAATCCATGCGCAAAAAATTC